CTTTACACTTGGCACAATGCAGTCAGGCAAGTACCATTCTCCTGGCAACCGCCAAACCCAGACACGTCCATCGGATTGCCAGACAGAGAAGCGTGATTGGTCACTCCAGAGAACACATCTCCTCTGCTCTAGAGTCCAGTGGCAGCATGCTTTACACCACGGCATCCGACGCTTTGCATTGCACTTGGAGATGGAAGGCTTGGATGCAGCTGCTCGGCCATGGAAACCCATTCCATGAAGCTCTCTACGCACTGTTGTTGGGCTCATCTGAAGGTCACACCAAGTTTGGAGGTCTTTAGCTATTGACTCTGCAGACAGTTGGTGACTTCTGCGCACTGTGCGCTTCAGCATGCGCTGACCCCGCCCTGTCATGTGACGTGGCCTACCACTTGGTGGCTGAGTGGCTGTTGTTCCCAGTTGCTTCCACTTTGTTATAATCCCACTAACAGTTGAGCGTGGAATATTTAGTAGCCAGGAAATGTCACGGATGGACTTATTGCCCAGGTGGCCACCTATCACGGGACCACGCTTGGAGTCACTGAGCTCCTGAGAGCGACCCATTCTTTCACCAATGTTTGTAGAAGCCGTCTGCATGCCTAGGGGCTTGATTGTATACACCTGTGTCCATGGAGGGGATTGGAACACCTGAATCACATGATATGGAGGGGATTGGAGCACCTGAATCACATGATATGGAGGGGATTGGAACACCTGAATCACATGATTGGGAGGGGATTGGAACACCTGAACCACATGATTGGGAGGGGATTGGAACACCTGAATCACATGATTTGGAGGGGATTGGAACACCTGAATCACATCATATGGAGGGGATTGGAACACCTGAATCACATGATTTGGAGGGCGGGGCCAATACTTTTGGCAATATAATGTATATATATATATATAAAAAAAAAAAAATTTCTATTCGTGTATGGCACATTTTTTTGGTGAAGTCCAGTGATTTATTATTGGAGGGTTCCCAGCCTCCAATATAGTGTGTGTGCGTATATATATACATTATATTGCCAAAAGTATTGGCCTCGCCCTCCCAATCATGTGATTCAGGTGTTCCAATCCCCTCCATGTACATATGTACATGTATATACTGTGAGTGTGTATATATATACATACATATATATATATATATATACACACACACATATATATATACACACAGTATATGCACAGTAGATATATACATATATACACACTCACAGTATATACATATACATTTTTTAAACTAAAGAATATACTCACTTTGTAAATGTATATATATATATATATATAAAATGCAAAAATTGCTACATTTATTATTAGTTTTACAAAATGACTATATCTTTATTTTCTTTAAAAAATTATATATATATATTGCAAACATTGCTACATTTATTTTTAAATGTTTTACAAGATGACTATATTTTTATATATATATACACAAACACTCACAGTATATACATATACATTTTTTAAGAAATAAAAGATATAGCGATCCTGTAAAACACATGCAGCCATGTTTGGGGTGATCAGACGGGTTAGATGGAGGTTCTCCTTTAAATGTTGCCTGGCTCGGCCCGTACAGACTGAACATTGTATACCTGGCGCTCCCCTCCGCCTGGCGCTCCCTCCGCCGTTCACCTTTTGCTGAGTTTATTTAACGTGTCTTATTTTTCCTTCTCCTTCGGGGTGGGGAGGTTTTATGTTTCCAGGACGGCAGGCTGACTGTAGCCGCGTGGTTTTGCACCCTCTGACACCGCGCAGTCAGTAAGAACCGCGACACTGAACAGAACTCGGTGTACTCGCGCCGCCACTTCTGCGTAATATTTTTTCGCTCGGTTACCTGGGCCCCACCCTAGAGCGGCGCGCTCAGTCCCGGGGTGTCTGTGACGAGGCTCGGCTGTGTTTATTTGTGAAGACGGATGGGCTCCGCCATCTATTTCCGTCCTGATTTAACCCCCTTATCTCGGGGGGGGCGATAGGCAGGGTCGCGTCCTAAATGTCAAATCTCATTTTCTCGCCTCTGCCGGCTGATAGCAGCTTCTGAGCTCTACAAGGGAACTAGGATGGATTTCCAGCAAGGATCCATTTGGAGTTGAAATGTTTACCAAAAAGATATTTTTCGCCAGAATTGTCACAATTTAATTTAGAGAAAATTGGGCAGAAACCCCAAATGGCCTCCCTGGTCTCTGGCTCTGTGAGTTGCCCAGGGGTGAGCACTTCTGGATACCCCATAGTTATTTATTTCAGGTACTTATATAGTTCTGTCAATGTACGCAGCGCTTTACATATATATTGTACATTCACATCAGTCCCCGCCCCTGAGGAGCATACAATCTAAGGTCCCTGACTTGCATCTATACATTCCCATCAGTCCCCGCCCCTGAGGAGCGTACAATCTAAGGTCCCTGACTTACACCTATACATTCCCATCAGTCCCCGCCCCTGAGGAGCGTACAATCTAAGGTCTCTGACTTACACCTATACATTCCCATCAGTCCCCGCCCCTGAGGAGCGTACAATCTAAGGTCCCTGACTTACACCTATACATTCCCATCAGTCCCCGCCCCTGAGGAGCGTACAATCTAAGGTCCCTGACTTACATTTATACATTCCCATCAGTCCCCGATCCTGAGGAGCGTACAATCTAAGGTCCCTGACTTACATCTATACATTCACATCAGTCCCCGCCCCTGAGGAGCGTACAATCTAAGGTCCCTGACTTACATCTATACATTCACATCAGTCCCCGCCCCTGAGGAGCGTACAATCTAAGGTCCCTAACTCACATTCATGCATACACATACTAGGACCAATTTAGACAGGAGCCAATTCACCTACCAGCATGTCTTTGGAGTGTGGGAGGAAATTGGAGTAATCCCACGCAGGCACAGGGAGAACATGCAAACTCCAGGCAGGGGGTGCTGTGGTTGGGATTTGAACCAACGACCCCAGTACTGCCAGGTGGAAGTGCTCACCATTTAGCCACTGTGCTGCCCATATTTATTTCGCCCATTGTGGCTTGTACTACCATTAGGGTGCCCAGCGGACTTACCCTTCATCCATAATTGTAGCTCAGGTTGGACTTGGGAGGTGTGTAAAAAGTGGGGGGTCTAGATGGGGCCTTTGGGGAAGGGGGGGTTGCCTCAGCTCTCATGGCGGGGGCAGCCTGTTCTGAGGGTTTGGGGTGTCGCTGGAGTATTGGGAGGTGGTTGTGTGGGAGGGTTGGGACTGGCTGGGAGGGGGTGCAGGACTTGCCATGCTTATTGTTTTTTGATGTTCATACAATAAATTTAGATTTTTTAAGTGGTAACTGTTCAGATGTTTGTTTTTCTTTACATTCTTTTCTTTTTTTGCACCCATATAAGCTCCCTCCACAGGCAGCTTCACTCTCCAATAAGACACGGCACTTTAATGCAACATAGCTTTGCTTGTTAAAATATAGTACATGGGATGTTCACCAGTCATATGAAGGGTAAGGAGACAATAACCTTCTAAGCCTCATTCCCTCTACGAAGGCTGGAAACTAACTGAAGAAACATGGAGAAGAAGGGAGGGATCTATCAGGGACTAAACTAACTAGCGCCAACATACAGGTAAACTGGATTGTACCATTTCAGAAATACAGTAATAACCCACATGGAAGGAAAATATATTCTGAAATATATTTTAAAAATATTCTTCCCAAATATATTGACATACTGTATATTTGAAATGCTACAATGTTAGCCGTATTCAATATGGGGTGGAGGAACGTGACTCCTGACCTCAACCCCATAGAACACCATTGGGATGGATTAGCCAGGCCTCCTCCCCCGACATCGGTACCTGACCTGACAAATGTGCTTCTGGAAGAATGGTCCAACCTTCCCATAGACACCCTCCTAAACCTTGTGGACGGCCTTCCCAGAAGAGTTGAAGCTGTTATAGCTGCAAAGGGCGGGGCCAACTCAATATTGAACCCTACGGACTAAGACTGGTGGGCCATTAAAGGTCATGTGTGTGGAAAGGCCCAATACTTGGGGCAATATAGTGTAGGCAAAGACCTGCCTGCTCACAGTCTTCTACGGCATGTAGACTGAGTTGCGCATGCGCAGCTCAGCTTCCGTCCCCGGCACTGTCCCTGTGTGCTGGGATGACTGCACATGCGCAAAAGTTGCGCCATCCTGCGCTGGCCAACGAAGATATCAGAAGACCAGCAGCTTTGAAGAAGATGCAGACACTGACAAGGGGCTTGAACCGTTAGCGTAACGGAACCGACCCAGACTGCGCTTGGGTACTTCTGTTAGAATACCGCTTCCCCATCCGAACACCGACAACAGACACCACAGCCGACCATACAAGACTAGACGACACCAGTCTGGAAGTAAACCAGGAGGTAGACTAGTTGATTTGAACACAGATACAAGATATATACACTTAGGGGACAACCCCCCCTCCCTGTATAATGACACTGGGCGGGGCAACCTACATTTAGTAACAAGAGACACACAGGTATTCAAACTTCACACCAGCAGACAGTCCCATCAGGAGGGAGGGCTGCTGGAGACACCCCCCCACTAAGCTAATACACATAAACACATACATCCCATAATAGAACAATGGGATGCAGCCACATACAGTAACATCAAACAATCAACAACCCCACACCCCAATATTAGAACAGATCACCCTGTACCCCTAACAGGCACAGGGTGACTTACATATAAGAGGGATATGGGGAGCTGAGACAGTTGTCTCCCCACCTCTCCAAAGTCAGCTGGGTTCCATGGGCCCCCCCACCCAAAGTGATTACCGTTAGGGAAGAGGTAAGTTTAGATCTGCTTTACCACTCTGTGATGGCGTTGGCTGGCCCTTTAAGTTGGCAGTGATGCCAGAGTCTAGTAGGAGAGGCTCATGATCATGTGGCACTGTAATTGGCTGGACGGTAATGACATCATCAGGAGTCCGCCCTACAGTAACATCAAACAATCAACATCCCCCCACCCCAATATTAGGACAGATCACCCTGTACCCCTAACAGGCACAGGGTGACTTACATATATTAGGGATATGGGGAGCTGAGACAGGGGTCTCCCCCCACCTCTCCAAAGTGAGCTGTGTTCCATGGGCCCCCCACCCAAAGGGACTCCCGTTAGGGAAGAGGTAAGTTTAGATCTGCTTTACCACTTTGTGAGGGCGTTGGGTGGCCCTTTGAGTTGGCAGTGATGCCAGAGCCTAGTAGGAGAGGCTCACGATCACGTGGCACGGTAATTGGCCGGACAATGATGACATCATCAGGAGCCCGCCCTACAGTAACATCAAACAATCAACAACCCCCACCCCAATATTAGGACAGATCACCCTGTACCCCTAACAGGCACAGGGTGACTTACATATATTAGGGATATGGGGAGCTGAGACAGGGGTCTCCCCACCTCTCCTAAGTCAGCTGTTTTCCATGGGCCCCCCACCCAAAGTGACTCCCGTTAGGGAAGAGGTAAGGTTAGATCTGCTTTACCACTCTGTGATGGCGTTGGCTGGCCCTTTGAGTTGGCAGTGATGCCAGAGTCTAGTAGGAGAGGCTCACGATCATGTGGCACTGTAATTGGCCGGACGGTGATGACATCATCAGGAGCCCGCCCTACAGGTTCCTGACCGTTCGTAGTTGATAGAATGTGAGCAGCTTGGTCACAGTATTTAGGGCACCCATTGATCGCCGCGCCAGTGGTGTATTTAGGTTTTGTGCTGTCCTAGGCAACATGAAAATTGCCTGCCCCCATGGACACCGACCAACACCCCCCTTCCCCCCCCCACCTGGGAGAGCCTTCCACTACCCCCTCCTGGCGATAGAGAGAGAAGACACTCATCTTCACAGCTCCGGACATCCCCGGGAACGAGAGTCAGGCTCTACATACACCATCAAGCAGCCCGCAGCCTCTCTCGGATCCCACCTGATTCCCATGGCTTGCATGTCCCTTCTTTCATCCCTTCTTCTGGGGGTAGGTGCTGCCCCCCTGAAAAATGCCGCCCTAGGCAAGTGCCTTGTTTGCCTTGTGGTAAATACACCCCAGAGCAACACAACCATGCATATATGCAGTGCATGAGCATCAAGCCCCACCCACATACATGCGTGTGGCTACCAAAAAGTATATAGCGTGAGACACGATGGAAAACATTTTGGGTGTACACCCACCTTATGGCCGGAGGCTTTTTTCATGGGTGACCGGTCCCCTTTAATAGTCCCGTTCAGATATTAAACGTCCCTATTGGTCCTCCATAACCCCCGAATATATTGGCGATGACGGCCGAACAAACTAATTAGGTTTTAGCAGACAGTCGCATTTCCTGACAGCCTGAGAGATGGGCGCTATCAGTCAGCCGCCTCTGTGGGACGCGCACAAAGTCACCGCGTCGGACGGATCGCGGCAGGCACGTTCCGTATTGCCTGTACAGAGGAAATGAGGTGAACGCAGAGTCCCCCGGGGGGGTCGGAGCTCACAGAACAAACATTTCACAAAGTTCATCATTAACATAAAAATTGTTGTATTTCCAATAATTCATCTGATCAGTTTCATCAAAACTCTGGCGGCTGAGCGGCAGGAAACGTTGGCGGGCCAAAAGCAGCAAACTATTCATCCAGATACATACAACGAGCCTCTGGCTGACACGCAGGCATGCCGGGACGCTGCAGCCGAGTTCTACGGGGTGCCGGGTCTGGGAGCCATCGTCCGCACGGGGAAACTGCGGGAAGGGGAAAAGGCCCAGAGCAACCAAACCGGAGCTGCACATAGGGTCTAGTGTGTGGTGCTCACATTTCTTGATATTGGGGGCCTCAAGTGCGGCCCTCAACATCACTAAAGGGCCACACATTAAATTAAAGTGAACATTCGCTGTCATACACAACAGACACACAACAGGATGGAGTCAAAAACAATCAGCATGATACAGGAGATGGTCAGAGACTGCAGACATAGTACAGGAGATGGTCAGAGACTGCGGACATAGTACAGGAGATGGTCAGAGACTGCAGACATAGTACAGAAGATGGTCAGAGACTGCAGACATAGTACAGAAGATGGTCAGAGACTGCAGACATAGTACAGGAGATGGTCAGAGACTGCAGACATATTACAGGAGATGGTCAGAGACTGCGGACATAGTACAGAAGATGGTCAGAGACTGCAGACATAGTACAGGAGATGGTCAGAGACTGCAGACATACTACAGGAGATGGTCAGAGACTGACGACATAGTACAGGAGATGGTCAGAGACTGCAGACACAGTACAGGAGATGGTCAAAGACTGCAGACATACTACAGGAGATGGTCAGAGACTGCAGACGTACTACAGAGAAGATCAGAGACTGCAGACATAGTACAGGAGATGGTCAGAGACTGCAGACATAGTACAGGAGACGGTCAGAGACTGCAGATATACTACAGGAGACGGTCAGAGACTGCAGATGTACTACAAGAGACGGTCAGAGACTGCAGACGTACTACAGGAGACGGTAAGAGACTGCAGACGTATTACAGGAGACGGTAAGAGACTGCAGACGTACTACAGGAGACGGTAAGAGACTGCAGACGTACTACAGGAGACGGTCATAGACTGCAGATGTACTACAGAAGACGGTCAGAGACTGCAGACGTACTACAGGAGACGGTCAGAGACTGCAGACGTACTACAGGAGACGGTCAGAGACTGCAGACGTACTACAGGAGACGGTCAGAGACTGCAGACGTACTACAGGAGACGGTAAGAGACTGCAGACGTACTACAGGAGATGGTCAGAGACTGCAGACATAGTACAGGAGATGGTCAGAGACTGCAGACATAGTACAGGGATGGTCAGAGACTGCAGACATAGCACAGGAGACGGTCAGAGACTGTATACATGATACAGGAGATGGTCAGAGACTGCAGGCATAGTACAGGAGATGGTCAGAGACTGCAGGCATAGTACAGGAGATGGTCAGAGACTGCAGACATAGTACAGGAGATGGTCAGAGACTGCAGACATAGTACAGGAGATGGTCAGAGACTGCAGACATACTACAGGAGATGGTCAGAGACTGCAGACATAGTACAGGAGACGGTCAGAGACTGCAGACATAGTACAGGAGATGGTCAGAGACTGTATACATGATACAGGAGATGGTCAGAGACTGCAGACATAGTACAGGAGATGGTCAGAGACTGCAGACATACTAAAGGAGATGGTCGGGGACTATGGACATGCTTCAGGAGACGGTCATAGACTGAAGACATTACATGGGACTGCTAGAAATCACTGCTATTAAAAGGCAATAGGGAAACAGAACAGTGTCTGCAGGGAGACAGAGAGCCACACTGGTACAAAAGGGCCCCAGGTTGGGCACCAGGGGTCTAGGGTGTAATGGGTAACTAAGGCTTGAGAGGTTCAGTCCCGAAGAGTCGCCAGGAGTTTCTGGATTAGCTCGTGGTGTCCACTGGAAAAGCAAAGATGGAGGTGGGAGAGCCCTTATAGTGGAGTAAATTGCCTCAGATAAGTTAAATTGCTTCAAAAAGGTAAAAAACATGAAGAGAAGATCCAAAGTAGGAAGGGGGGGGGAATACAAAACAAAATGAATTTTTTTCCGGCCTTGTTTACACTTGCTTCAAAATGTAGCATTGGCCTGTCAATCAAAGCCCCTCTCACTAAATACCATGGTCCCCTTACAGTCCTGTTCACACGCAGCGTTTGCTTTGCTTCAAAAATGATGTCACTTTCTTGGTGCTTCGAAGTGTCTCCATGCTCCATAGAAGTCTATGACAACGCTCCCTAACAGTTCCCGCAGCTTCTGAGGGGCTTTTATTCAGCTTTAGATTCGCTTTGCTTTGGAGGTATTACAGGTATGAGAGATCCCAGGATGCACTGGGAGACCAACAAGTGAACTGGAAAGATGTCAGGAGCAGTCACTTCTGGTTCATGTGTATATATTCTGGGAGTGTCTGGTGCAGGCGTCACATCTGGTGTGTAGCACGGACAAACGGGAAGGTGACGGGGGTTCAGGGCGGAGCGAAAAACTGGCAGGTGGCACACGTGGTGCGCAACATGGATGAGGATAGCAGAAAGTGAGCATGGACTGGAGAGAGTGGAATGAACGGCAGAGGATCAGCAGAGCTGGGGGACCGGAGCAGGAGAAACTAGCAGATGTCACATGTGGTGAGCTGCGTGGGAGCAATATGGCGGGAGGTGAGCAGGGACTGGAGAGAGAGGAGGATCAGCAAACCAGAGGATCTGCAGAGCTGAGGGTTGCTACTGAGTGGGGGATCAGGAGAGCTGAGGATTACTACTGAGTGGGGGATCATGAGAGCTTGGGGTACTATTGAGTGGGGGATCAACAGAGCTGAGGGTTACTACTGAGTAGGGGATCAGCAGAGCTGAAGTCTACTACTGAGTGGGGGATCAGCAGAGCTGGGGTTAACTAGTGAGAGGAGGATCAGAAAATCTGAGGGTTACTGCTGAGCTGGAGATCAGCAGAGCTGAAGTATACTGCTAAGTGGGGGATCAGCAGAGCTGGAGTTTACTACTGAGTGGGGGATCAGCAGACCTGGGGGTTACTAATGAGCAGGAGATCAGCAGAGCTGAAGTTTACTATTAAATGGGGGATCAGCAGAGTTGGGGGTTGCTGAGCGGAGGATCAGCAGAGCTGGAGTTTACTACTGCATGGGGGATTAGCAGAATTTAGTGTTACTACTGAGCAGGGGATCAGCAGAGCTGAGGGATACTATTGAGTGGGGGATCAGCAGAGCTGGGGGTAACTACTGAGAGGGGGATCAGCAGAGCTCAAGTTTCTACTGAGTGGGGGATCAGGAGACCCGGAGGTTACTACTGAGCAAGAGATCAGCAGATATAAAGTTTACAACTTAGTGGGGGACCAGCAGAGCTGGGGGTTACTACTGAGCGGGGTATCAACAGAACTGGGGGTTACTACTGAGTGAGGGATCAATGGAGCTGGGGGTTACTACTGAGAGGGGGATCAGCAGATCTGGGGGTAACTAGTAAGAGGGGGGATCAGCAGACCCTGGAGTTACTACTGAGTGGGAGATCAGCAGACCTGCGAGTTACTACTGAGCAGGGGATCAGCAGAGCTGGGGGTTACTATTGAGTGGGGGATCAGCAGAGCTGGGGGTTACTACTGAGTGGGGGATCAGCAGAGCTGGGGGTTACTACTGAGCGGGGGGATCAGCAGAGCTGGGGGTTACTACTGAGCGGGGGATCAGCAGAGCTGGGGGTTACTATTGAGTGGGGGATCAGCAGAGCTGGGGGTTACTACTGAGCGGAGGATCAGCAGAGCTGGGGGTTACTATTCAGTGGGGGATCAGCAGAGCTGGGGTTACAACTGAGCGGGGGATCAGCAGAGCTGGGGGTTACTATTGAGTGGGGGATCAGCAGAGCTGGGGGGTTTACTATTGAGAGGGGGATCAGCAGAGCTGGGGGTTACTACTGAGTGGGGAATCAGCAGAACTGGGGTTTACTACTGAGCGGGGATCAGCAGAGCTGGGCGTTACTACTAAGCGGGGGGGATCACCAGAGCTGGGGGTTACTATTGAGTGGGGGATCAGCAGAGCTGGGGGTTACTACTGAGTGGGGGATCAGCAGAGCTGGGGGTTACTACTGAGCGGGGGATCAGCAGAGCTGGGGGTTACTATTGAGTGGGGGATCAGCAGAACTCAGAAGAGATTCTCATTGGCCAGCGCTTTCACACGGCCATGCTGACCAATAACCGCTTGCCTTTGCATGCATTGTGATGCAGACAGGCCCTGGGGCCAGTATATGGAATTTCGCCTGACTCTTTGAGATCCTAATTTGGATGGAGCACCACAAAACTGAATCTGGGCGTGGCCCAATATTAGCCACCTCCCCGTCCTTTTCATTTTTTTTTTTTTGCGGTGGCCAGGCCCCATTCGCAAAAGTGTGCTTTCTTTGTGCGGCAGCACAGGGCAGCAAATTCATTTGAATGATGCGCAACAAACCTTGCAAAGAGGCTCCTGCACCTTTTTTTGGGCACAGAGTTTGGCCCTTTTTTTGCCGCACCTTTTAGCACATTTGTCGCGCGACCAAACATGCGTTTGCTGGCCGCATGTGCAGAAACACGCTTCCATGCGCATTTCTGGAATGTGTGAAAAACCAAATTGCGCTTGCGGTGTTATTAATTGTTAATGGCGCGGCCGGCAAACGCACTAAAAAAAGGCGTAACAAATGCATTAAAAAAATGGTGAAAACTGCACCCCGCTCTGTGCCTGAAAGAGGTGCAGGAGCATCTTTGGCGTGCGTAGGGCAGCCCATTCAAATGCTGACACCCAAAAAACGCACAAAAAATGCACAAAAAATATGCACGTTCGCAAAATGTGACATTTGAATGGGGCCATAATGGCAGCCCAAGTGCGAAACGCATGGAAAATGCACATTTTTGAGCGCGCTCCCGAAAGGTGCTCAAGTGAATGGGGCCTTAATGCACCCCAAGCACAAAGCGCTTTTCTCATGTGTTCCCAGGAACGTGCGTGGAAATGCGCGTTTCTGAACGTGCTCCCTAAAGGCGTCCTCATGTGAATGGGGGGGGGGGGCTGCATTTTTTGGGTTCAGATGAGGTCCGGGAGCTCGTAGAATTTGTCATTTATCATACATTTCCCTCCCCCGCCCGCTGTACTTTTTTGTCTTTTTTTTTCCCCAAACGATCCCTTTTAACAAGAAGATTACGGCGCTTTTTGGTAAAACACCAGAAAAGAAATTTATGAGGTTCATCGACCACGTGAAATCCCGCACATCATCCATTGTTATTAGAATGGAGAACGCTTCCCCGTGTCTCGCAGTGGTAATCCTCCCAGGAATGTGAGTCAGCGCGGGCCGTGGTGGTCGCTCTCGGGGTGATGTATTTACTGGTGTTTGCTGGGGGGAGGAGGGGGGGTAAGCGGGCCCCGGGGGCCCCACAAGCCATACGCCATGTCTGAGTCAGCTCTGGTGATGTGGTACGGCACCGCGCTAATCAGCAGGAAAAGCGCAGCGAGGTGATGAGTCACGAGAGTCCCCGCTGATCTTGTGGTTTTAATATCTTCGTAAATTATTGTGAGTTGTTCTGAAATTTAGTTCCTGAACACGGTGGTGAATCACGGGATCCGCGTTCCTGAGCACGGCGCTGAATCACGGGATCCACGTTCCTGAGCACGGTGCTGAATCAGGGGATCCACGTTCCTGAGCATGGCGCTGAATCAGGGGATCCGCGTTCCTGAGCATGGCGCTGAATCAGGGGATCCGCGTTCCTGAGCACGGTGCTGAATCAGGGGATCCGCGTTCCTGAGCATGGCGCTGAATCAGGGGATTCGCGTTCCTGAGCATGGTGCTGAATCAGGGGATCCGTGTCTCTGAGCGCGGCGCTGAATCACGGGATCCGCGTCTCCTGAACACGGCGCTGAATCACGGGATCCGCGTTCCTGAGCATGGTGCTGAATCAGGGGATCCGTGTCTCTGAGCGCGGCGCTGAATCACGGGATCCGCGTCTCCTGAACACGGCGCTGAATCACGGGATCCGCGTTCCTGAGCACGGCGCTGAATCACGGGATCCGCGTTCCTGAGCACGGCGCTGAATC